CAGGGAGAAAAGACAAATGTTTCACTTCTGTTTACAAAAGTACAGTCTACAAAATTGTTGTAAGTTAAAGATAGCTTAAGAAAAAAGGGAAAAGGGTTTCTTATATCTGGAAAATGGAACGTTAACGAACGAGCAATGTTCCAAACAAAAACCATAATCATTCTTTATCAGTTCATTCAGTCCCATGTAATGAATTCTTGTTTTGCTTGAACTTGGGTTAGCAGTTTTATGAACCCGTCAGCTTCTCCCGGAAATCCTTACTCAGTCCAGTGGTGCGGTCTCAAAATTATTCAAGCAATGCTATCTTGAAACATTCTGACCTGTAGCTGGTTGCAAACACTTTCAGAGATGAATCAGAGTAAAACAAGACTATCTGTGAATGACAGGAGTTAAAATGGCCATGGTTAAGGATCTGATGCATTCATTTGACAAGAAAATTTGGTTATTTCTGTGGCACACAACATTTTAAAATGATAACCAGAATTATGACTAATCATATTATACCAGGATGTATTATGGACAGTGAGGGTATTGACAAATTTCTGTGAAATTTGTACATAATTTCTGAAATACTTATATTAATCACATTTACCCATACAAATATAACCTGGTTAAGGTTAAGCATCCCTTCTGATTTGACAATGTCTTTTCATTCAATTCAACATATCAAATAAACTGAAATATTTTTAGCATCTCTTTTTATACATGGTGAAAGAACAACTCCTTTGAGATGTTTCAGGGGCTCTCTGGGAAATCTCAAGGTCAGTTTGAGATCAAGAGATCAAGATTTCATGTAGGGTTTGATTTAGGGAAGGCAAAGATGTCAAAAATGTTTTTAAAAACCTTAGTTGCTTTAAAAGTGAGAAGTCTCAGATCTCTTTAATAATAAAGGACATGATCAAGATTAGCACAGGAAATTATTTTGATAAGACACAAAATCTTATTTCCTAGGCAGATTACTTAAAAGGTAGAGAAAAGCCTTTACAATCTCTTATTAAGAACAGACCAATAATCCAAGAAAACTTTGTCATTTTAACAAAGAGAAAATCAAATTCTAGCTTTGACACCACTGTACTTTTGATATGAAAGTTCATTTTTTAAAAACTTATAAATAAATCCATTCGAATATTAGCCAGTTTGACCACACATAAAATTCCTTTTCTGCAAACTTACAATTTTCTATATTGATTCAGTTTTTGTCCTATATTTTTTCTTTTTTATTCTGGAACAACCAGTCATCTTACTTTAGGATAAAATTATTCTTTTTCTTTTAACAGAAGTGCATTCTTTATACCTTATATACTTTTCCTTATAAAAAAACACATCCTAATCTTGATAAGTGTTTAGGTGATAGATATGCTAAGTATTCTGATTGGATCATTATACAATATATGCATGTATTGAAACAATCAACTATACTCCATAAACATGCACAATGAAAAAAATAAAAATCAGGACATTTTGCAATAATAAAAAAAAAAATCCTACTTTCCTTGCATACTTTTCATGCAATGTTATTTCCCTTTGCCCTTATTATTTCTGTTAGTCTTAATAACATATATTATCATTTTTAACTATTAGTAACCTCTCTTTTATAGAGAAAACTAGGAAATAGACAGTTGTGAACTATTTCTCACATACCAGTATTCTGTAGCAGACTAGCAAATTGTATAAATATATCATTTCATGATTTTTGAGACTTTTTTTTAATGTGGAAGAAAGAATATGTATATGAACAGACTCAAATATCTTTACCCTCTCTATACTGTATAAAAATAGTAAGCCAAAAGCTATAAACTTAAGCTTGTACTTAATAATTAGTTTCAGTAGTTTATCTTACTTAGAAATGATTTATTTAATGAATATGTATTACCTAATTTAACATAATTCTAAGGTTACAAGTTACCAAAAAGATTTTGGAACTATTTTTAGGCATACATAATACCAAACAAGGCTAGCCATTATCTTAAATTATTTTCCTGTTAACTATTTTTCCAGCACATGCTGTAAAGTTATGGTTCCTGTTTGTCAGTATATGTGGAGGAGACATTTAAGATTTGTTTTTGTCCTGATATATAATTTTATGTAGGCTGTGGACTAAATTTTAGGAGAGGGTGTGGGGACATCAAGCAACTGTCTCCATGTCTCCAAAGCCTGTCTGAGTGGATAAAATATCCATTCTGTTTTTTCTCTTTCAGTGTCAGGTGGTTGCTTTTAAGGGTCCCTCGGTCTCTCTAGAGTCCCTGATGGGGGCAGGGGCCCAGAGTTCAAGTGACGTAGGGAGTTAGGGGGCTGAAATAGAAAAGGAAAGTTTTGGCAGGTGTGGACAGAGGGATGGAGGAGGTAGAGGTTTGAAGGGGGACATATCAAAGGATTCAAGGAGCTCGAAGGGAAGATTGAAGGCCCCAAGAGGAGAACGGAGGAGGGGAAGCAATGGGAAGGGAGAGGTCTTAGAGGAGCCAGTTTGGGGAGATCTAAACTTTCCCAAGAAGCCATTGAAGTTTCAAATTATCCTTACTAAAATCACTGCAACAAGAAAGGAAGCAGGTTGAGTTGGCGGAGCATATAGTCAGCAGGGGTTTAAGAAGGGGTGTTTCAGTAGACAGAAGTTCCTGTGTTCTTAACTAATGGTACTTTTATGCTTATAAATAGACAACTTAGGATTCTAACCCAGCTTCTCTTCCTTACAGAGGCCAGCCTCTTTAAACAAAGCCTAGAGCTCTAACCCGGCTTCTTACTAACAGCTGCTTACCTGGGACTCTAACCTAGCTTCTAGAGAATACTCAGAATCTTAAGAATCAAAATTTGTCCTTACTGTGCTTCAATAGACTGTCATCCAGAGCACTGGCTCAGGAGTTGGACTCATCAGTAGATCACCAATCAGTCAGTCAGGAGTGAAGACAGAGGCTTCAAAGGTGCACACTTCGGGTCCCAGGTGAGATGTTCAGGGTCCAATGATGAATCTGATCTTATCCAAGTCGCAGCAACATAACTGTCAAAACCAGAGTTGGACAGTAGTTAAGCAGTAAAAAGGAGATTTTATTCAGGACTATTACAATAGAGGGAAAGAGACCTCAGTATAGAAGTGGGCTCAATTCTGAATACAACATGGACAAGTGGGGATTTATAGCCAAGGAGCAGGGTGGGGGTCAGTAGATGAAAAATTACTAAGAGGAAACATCAGGGGTAGAGGGGGATTCTTACTAAATTGACCTAACAGTGTTCTTGCTGAAAGAAGGCCCACGTGATCAAATATCACCTGGGAGATAGTAGAAGATGAGGAATTTGATCAGATATTGTGGTTGGGGGAGTCTGGCTAAACTGACAACAGGATTCTTGATAAAACTGGGTGATACAGAGAAGTCTAAAAGTTGAGGCCTAGTTGGGAAAAGGATTCAGAGGAGCCTGACTAAAGTTTGTTCTAAGAGAGACTCTGTCACCTGAAGGGTCTGGGCCATTCATAGTCCTGCCTGCATTGGGTTGTTGTAGTTTTCCATTCACCTTAATCGCAGGGCATGGTAATACTAGGAGATGCCCCAAGGGATCTCCTGTATTTCAAAATGCTGTTCCTTACTTCTATTGTGGAGTAGCTGTCCAATTTCCCCTCAGTAATCAGGATCAATCACCACAACCAACACTGTAACTCCCTTCTTTGCCTGTTTACTCAGGGGCATGAGGAGCCCAAAGTAGCCGGGTGGCAGTATTAACTTCTAGTCCAGTGGGACAATTGTTATGTCTCCTGGTAGAATCATTCCTGCCTCTGGAACTAAGACCACTAGAGCACTGGAACGTAGGGTCACAGGGACAGAAAGCAAAACTTTTGTTAGTGGGTTACTAGGGGTAATAGTGAGGGGTGTCATTCCTGTCCCCAGGGCTGAGGGGGCAGGGCCATCACCCCTGTGGGCTCAAAGGAAAGATCATGGAGCCAATGAGGATTATTCTCAAGCCTTAAAATCTAATGGAATTTGCCTTCCTTGGTTTCAGACTTACTTGGGACCCACGATCCCTTTTTCCATTCTGATTCTCCCTTCTGGAATGTGAATATCTATCCTATGCCTGTCCCACCATTGTATTTTGGAAGAAGATAACTTGTTGTCTGGTTTTCCAGGTTCACAGATGGAGAGGATCTTTGCTTCAGGATGAATCATATCCCAAATCTCACTCATAACTAATTTGGACAATTTAGATGATGAGATTTGGGACTTTGGGTTGATGATGTTTAGATGAGATTTTTGACTTAAGAGTTGATGCTTGAATGATTAAGACTTTTGAGGATGTTGGAATTAGGTGAATGTATTTTGCATGTGAGAAGGACATGAATTTTGGGGGGTTAGAGGGCCAATTCGTATGGGTTGAATTGTGTATCCCCCAAAAGCTATGTGGAAATCCAGTACTTCAGAATGTGACTTTATTTGGAAATAGAGTATTTACAGAGGTAATCAAGATAAAATGAAGTTATTAGGGTGGGTCCTAATCTAATATGACTGGCATCCTTATAAAAAGGGGAAATTTGGACACAGAGACATGCACACAGGGAGAATGCCATATGAAAATGAAGACAGAGATATGGGTGATGCTAGAAGCATGTATAGAGGGAAGACATGAGAAGACACACAGGGAGAATACAGCTATGTCACTGGAGTCCTAGATCTATCAAAGAGAGCGTGACCCTGCCAACACCTTGATTTCAGACTTCTAGCCTCTAGAAATGTGAGAAAATAAATTTTTGTTGTTTTAGCCACATAGTTCTTGGTACTTTGTTATGGCAGACCTAGGAAACTAATACAGAGTCTCAGTGAGGGTATTTCCATTCTCAGCTGCTGGGACGTCTGGGACATCTGAAGTGTGTGATGGTGTCATCCTTGATTTGTCTGGGATTCTTCAGTCCCTTTTCACCTCTGTAATTATTACCCTGTTCCCAATGAAATGTGATTACTTTTCTGGAGAACAAATGGAAAGCAATTAGCTGGACCCAATTCTCTATAATGTCCTGTTAACAGGATTTGAAGTTCCCAAGCCAGAGGCCATCTTCAAGTTGGAGCAAGGAGAGGGGTCATGGATGTTGGAGGATGAGGCCCCACATCAGAGCTGTTCAGGTGAGTGATTGTGCCCCAGGCAGGTGGGGGACAAGGAAGTAATTTTTTCCCTAAGAGAGGCTGATGTCTCTAAAATGCTTTTATTGCTACCCTTTTTAAAGGTTCTAAACTTGAGAATAGATAACATTGGCCTCTCAGGTATCAAATTGTTCTCTCCCTTTTTTCCCTTACTGTCTTCTTTGTTTGGCTTTCCTTCAGGAGATTTGCCTCAATTCCTATACCATATGCCAGGTATCATATGCCAGGCTTCCTCACTGTGGATCTTGCTTTCTTGAATGTTCGCTCCTTCCATCACATTTTTATGCTTCATTACTTAAAGTACACCCCCGAGTCTTAGATTCTTGTCATAATTTAGGTTTTAATGAATTTGCCTTTGAAAATCAGTTGGTTGCCTCACTCCTGTTTTTCCTAGTGCTCTTCAATTTCTTCTTCCTTTCATTTTCGTCTCCTCACTCTAAGATACCAATAAACTAACATCTACAGCCAGCCTCACCTCCTGTTCTCTTTGTAGGTATCACCTTCAGATTTCTCATTCCTCTCCACCTTCCCATAGCTCCATGACTCTCTCCCATTTTCTGACTTTATGGTCACTATCACTTAGCATTTCTTTTAAAATCAGTTTTATTAAGTAATTTACAGAGAATAAGATGTATCCATTTAAAGTGTACAGTTTGGTGGGTTTTGATAAAGGTGTACACTGGTATAACCACACCCCAATCATGATATATAATACTCCATCACACAGAATGCTCCCTTGTGCCCCTTGTAGTCAATACTCACCACTGCTTCAGCCCCAGGCAACCATTGGCATTGCTTTTTGTCACTAAAGATTAGATTTGTCTTTATTAGAGTTTCATATAAATGAAATCATACCATACATACTCTTTTGGGTCTGGCTTCATTGGCTCAGCATAATGATTTTGCAATTTATTCATATTATTGAGCATATCACTAGTTTGTTCCTTTTAAAAGCTGAATACTATTCTATGGTGTGAATTTATTGCAGTTTGTTAATCTGTAAACCTGTTGATGGATAGGTGGTTAACATTTGGTTATTATGAATGAAGCTGCAATGAGCATTCTGGTATGTCTTTCTGTGAACATATGTTTATATTTCTCTTAGGTAAATAGATAGGATTGGGATTGCTGGGTCATATAATAAGTGTATGCTTACCTTTAGAAGAAATTGCCAAACTGTCTTCCAAATTGGTTATGCCATTTTACACCCCCAATGGCAATACGTAAGAATTCTGTTGCTCCACATCCTCGGCAACACTTGCTATCATCAATCTCTTTAATTTTTGGTATTATGGTGGATGTGTAATGGTATCTCATTATGATTTTATGTTGCATTCCTCTGATGAGAGTACTGATGTTAAGCATCTTTTCTTGTGCTTATTGACAATTTGTAACTTTTTGTGAAATGTCTATTCATATATCAATTTCCATTTTTATTGGGTTGTTTGTCTTATTATTGAGTTTTAATATATTTTCTGGATACAACTCCTATGCCAGACATATGTATTGCTAATATTTTGTTCCAATCTGTGGCTTGCAATTTCATTTTCTTATTGGTACCTGTCAAAGAGCAAACATTTAAATTTTGATGAAGTCTAATTTATCACCTTTTTTCTATTGTTAGCACTTTTTTGTGATCTGTTTAAGAAATCTTTGTCTACCACAAGATCAAAGATTTTCTCACTTTTTTTTTTTTCTATGAATTCTTATCATTTCAGCTTTTTCAGTTTAGGTGTATGATCCATTTTTTGTGTGATATAAGGATTGATGTTCATTTTTTCAAGACTGATATGTACTTGTTCCAGAACCATTTGTTGAAGAGACTTTTTACCATTGAATTTCCTAGGATAATTATCAAAATTAATTGACTTTATATATGTGAGCCTATTCCTGGGCTCTCTTTTCTGTTCAATTAGTCTATTTGTTGGTTTTAAAAGGTAAGTTTTATTATTTTTCAGGTATGGTGAAGCCAACAGATAAGGAAACAACCGTCATTGAAAAGATAGTTTCTTGGGGCCGGCCCGGTGGCGCACTGGATAGTGCGCCGCTTGGGAAGTGCGGCAGCGCTCCCGCCCGAGGGTTCGGATCCCACATACAGACTGGTTCCCGCTCACTGGCTGAGCGAGGCATGGGAGCAACACCGAGGGTTGTGATCCCATTGCCGGTCCCGGTCCGGTACGGGGGCGACACTGAGGGTTGCGATCCATTGCCAGACACGGAAAAAGACAAAAAAAAAAAAAAGAAAAGATAGTTTCTTACTCATAGTTCCCAAGAGGAGGGGCTGTACCACACCATTCATGGCCACATGGGAAGCACCAGGGTCTGTCAGGAGTGAGAAGGAGTGAGGGGAAAGCACAGGCCAGTCTTTATTGTGGTTTTTGTGAAAAGGAAGGGATGAGGCAGGGTAGCAGGCTAGGCAGGATTAAGATTGACTAGTTCGAATAATTTCAGTGGGCTCCAGGGTAAAGGGACTATCCCTAGTTGTCTAGTACCTGGCCCTGGGGTCATTAGGGCAGGGGGATAATGGCTCAGCCTGTGAGAGCTCAATAAATGAGGTAGATGTGAGTATGGGCTATGGATTGGTTGGTTTGCATATGAAAGGCTTGCTCACAGCTGAGTATTTTGCTATCTCTAGGAATTAGCTAGTCCTGGGAGGGGCAGTCTCTCCAGCATCACCTAAGCCCCTGATGTCAGAGCATTAAGAATGTAGAAAATCACAAAATATAGTCAATACATTATTCTTTTGGCAAACCCACACTATCTTTATTACTGTAGCTTTTATTGTAAGTCTTAAAATCAGGTAATATAAGTCCTCCAGCTTTGCTTTTCTTTATTACTTTCTCTTCTAGGTCATTTGTGTTTCTTTTTAAATTTTATAATCAGTTTGTAATTTTTACCAAAAAAAAAAAAAAAAAAGCCTACTGGGATTTTGTTTGGAGTTGAGTTGACTCTGTGGATCAATTTTAGGAGAATTAACGTCTTAACAATATTGAGCCTTCTAACCCAGGAACATGGCATATTTCTGTGATTATTTAGATCTTTAATTTCTTTCAGCGGTGTTTTATAGTTTTCAGTATAGAGGTCTTATGCATCCTTCATTAAATTGATCCCTAAATATTTGATACTATTGTAAATGGCATTGTTTTAATTTTATTTTTAGATTGTTCATTGCTAACATAAAGTTTTTTAATCTTTATTTTGATTGTTTATTGCTAGTATAAATTGCTAGTGGTTGATTTTGTACATCATCTTTGTGTGCTGAGGCATTGCTAAATCCACCTATTAGTTTTTTTTGTAGGTTCCCCAGCGTTTTTCATGTAAGTAATCATTATCACCTAAAAATAGTGACATTTTTACTTCTTCCTTTCTAATATCATGCTTTTAATTTCTTTTCCTTTCCTTACATTGCTTTCTAAAATAAGGAAAGGAAAAGTTCAATGCTGCATAGAAGTGGTGAGCATGGGCATGCTTGCCTTGTTCCTGATATTAGGGGTAAAATATTCAGTCTTTCACCATTATGTATGAAGTTAGCTGTAGGTTTTTTGTAGCTGCCCTTTATCAGGTTATGTGATTTTCTTTCTAATCCTTGCTTGTTCAAGATTTTTTTTAATCATAATTGAGTGTTGAATTTTGTCAGATACTTTTTCTGCATCTATTAGAGTGATTATATGAGTTTTTTTGTTGTTGTTCTATTAATACGGTGGATTTATTTATTGGTTTTAAATATTAAATTAACCTTGCATTTCTGAGGTAAATACTAGTTGATTATGATTTATTATCCTCATTATATTTTGTTGGATTCTATTTACTGATGCTTTGTTTTAAAAATTTGCATTTTTCATGAGTGATGATGGTTTGTAGTTTTCTTTTTTTGCAGTGTCTTTGTCATGTTTTTATATTAGAGTTATGCTGGCCACATAAAACGAATTATGAAGTGTTCTCTATTTCCTGAAATAGCGTGTGTAAGATTGTTATTTATTCTTTTAATGTTTTATGGAATTCACCAGGAAAACCATCTGGGCCTGGAGTTTTCTTGATGGGAAAGTTTTAATAACAAATTCAATTTCTTTTGTAGACATAGGGCTATTCAGATTTTTGATTTCATCTTTTGCAGACATAGTAAGTTGTATTTTTCAAGGAATTTGTCTAGACCTCCCTGTTGGCTAATTTAATCCCATTGCAGTTTGTCCATTGTGGTCTGAGGACATACTCTGTATAATTTCAGCATATAGTTTATTAAGGAGAATGTACTGTATATCCTTGAAAAGAATGTATATTTGGCTGTTGACAGATGTAATGTTCTGTAATCTGTATCTCAAGTTGGTTGTATTTTATTGAAATCTCCTACTGCCTTACTGATTTGTCTTCTCCTTGTTCAATTAATTATTTGTAAATTTGGGGGTAAAAACTGACAAGGAGTTTTTAAAATTTATAATGGATATGCAAAAGACCTAGAATAGCCAGCACAGTCTTGAGAAAGAAGAAAACATGGAGGATTGACACTGCCTAATGTTAAGATTTACTGTAAAGCTATAGTAATTCTTACATATGGTATTGATGTAAGGACAGACAGATATATAACTGGAACAGAAGAGAGATTCTAAAAATAGACCCACACATATATAGACAACTGATATTTGAAAAGGTGTGAATGCAATTCAAAGGGAGAAACTAAAGTCTTTTCAACAAATTGTGGTAGAACGAATGGATGTCAGTTGGTGGGGGCGGAATTCATACCTTGACCCATACCTCACACTGTGTACAAAAATTAGCTCAACTTCTAGTATTACTGAATTGTTTCTGTTGGACCAACCCTCTAAGAGATAAAAATGGTAAACTTTGGAAGACGTATTTTAAAAACTAACTACAGTCGTGCATTGCTTAACAATGGGATACATTCTGAGAAATGCCTCAGCGGGTGATTTTGTTGTCATGCAAACATCATAAAGTATACTTACACAAACCTAGATGGTATAGCCTAC